TCGCAGCGAAATGTAACATTGTTTTTGCACGTAGGCGCACCCGACACGTATTTACGTTTATAAGTATGCGCACGCAAGGGTGGGGGATTTAAAACATTTTAAACATCTTTTTTTTAATGTGAGACTTTAATATTTTTTTCTATGCTTATCTTGATTGCTATCACATAAGGGACTAAAAAGCTCCTTATGTGATAGCCAATATACAACGATAGGTCCTCTTTATGGAGACATCAGGGGTCTCTAAGACCCCTTAAGTCACCTAGGGGCCCCCAAAGAAGCTGATGAAGCAGAGATATAGCAGCCAGCGGAAGTGATGTAATACACATCGCTTCAGCCTTGAGGGAAGAGAGGAGGAGAGATCAGCAGTGGGGGAATGCTAATCTCTTCTCCAATCTCTCCCCCCCGGCCCACAGGGGGTACAGCAAAGCCCAGGATAACCGGGAGCAGAGGGGGGCGTCTGATTGCATGATTACACAAGAGTTCGGCCGGCTGTAGAGCCAGCTGAACGCTTGTATATAATAGCCGGTAGCGGCTGTTCACACTATCGGCGGAATTCTGCTAGAGGTTGTGAACGAGCAGAAAAAAAAAAACAACGTAAATGTGCAAACATTCGCCGTCTCCCCGTATTTTTACAATGGGCAGATGGCAAGGGTTAAAAAAAAGAGCTCAATTTTAGACAAAAGATACAGAAAACAAATGCTGCTCAATCCACTTTTTTTGTTTTTTTTCTACCGCTAAATTACCTCCCAACATGTGAGAATGGGCTAGATACAACAGCATCCTAGGGGACCACTATCTGCTCCATACCTTGCTCCTGTTCCTTCCCACAATCCAGTAAGTCATGGTATACTACATAACAAGAGCTATACCAGGCTAAATTCTGTTGTTTTTTTTAATTCCCCCCGTTTTCAAATTTTTTCATGTTTTTGTCAAATTGGGGTTCTGAAACTGTGTGGTCCCAAAATTTTACCTGTCCACCAGTACATCTGTTATTTCTGGAACTGGGGCAGTTTTCTCTGATTCCCCAACAATGACTGCTAGTTGGAAGTTGTTAAGACAATTCTGAGGTAAGAGAGTCAATATCCTCCTCCAGTTCAGGCAAAACAGTAATATCATTCATTTCAGACACATTTTCAGAACTGGTTACTTGTTTTCCTTCCCTCCCCCCCACCCCCACCTAAAATACGGTAGGGGAAAACCATAGTCTAGTATTACATCGTATATGCAGTCCTTATCTCAGAATCATGTCATAGGTGTTAAGATTCTCCACATCAGCCATAAACCCTGAAGCCCCTTACCATATCTATGTGAGAAACCTGTAAGCCAGTGCCTTAGTTCATGTTCACACCTAGGCGTTTTGTAGCTCAAAAGGTCTAAGCACTACAATGCTCAACCAAAGGAATTCCATTGTTTTCAATGGCCTCTGTTCACATCTGAGCATCCGGTCACCTGTGCTACTTTTCTGTAGATTTCTGCACTTTTGGCCCCATAGACTTCAATGGAAACACTTGTAAACGTGAGACAAAAATGTTTTCACACTTTGAGCAGTTTGATGGGCAAGAGCCAGCCTCCCTCTTTGCAAAAAATTGCTGATAGACAGTAACACCTTATATTACTCACCTATACAGTTCTATGACACTTGAGTAATTTAGTAGCGAGCTTGGGAAAACATTCATTTTTATTGATATAAATACATTATATAATTAAAACATAACTGAAAATGTAATTTACAGAATAATGTCTGATGATCAAGCATATACAGAGCCTTTATCTTACTATACTTTGCAAAGATCCCAACTACTCCAGAAAATGGATTGTCTCTCTGTACAATAAAGTCATTTTCAGCATGACAATACTTATTTACTTAGCCATAGAATATTTTCATGAAATACAATTACTTCACGCGTTATACAAAACCATACAATACATTCAGAAACAAAAAGTTAAATAGGGAAAAAAAAGAAAAGGTCAAATGCAGTAAGCCCCAGAGTCTAACAAGCATTGGTAAAGAAAGAAATCTAAGCAGTGAGGTATTAAAAAAAAAGAAAACTGCGGATAGCACCCATAGAACAGATTACAGCGGTTATTTGTTTATTTCAGGTCCAAAGCATGGTATTGGTCAGTATTGGCAATACCCACAAAATTCTTTCTTCCAATTGATATACTTGAGGCACAAAGCATGTCATTGCATTTAGCAGATCACGTTCACCTTGTAGTAGACAAAAATCACATACTGCATTTGCCTGTAAAGTTTGGCATGTTTGTTGTTGATTAGAGTGGAGCTTCAACAATATTCATGGAAGTGCAGCTTACTTAAAGGAGAACTATGAGGTGAGTGCTTTTCACTCACCTCATAGTTCTAGCCGACCTGTGACAATGAGACTGTCACAGGTCGGCTCAGTAGATCGGGAGGTGAGCGAACACATACCGGCGTTCGCTCACCTCTCGATCCTGTCACAGCCCTCTGCCGTGACAGGGGAGGGGCTGGATTCCCCCCCTCCCTGCCAGCGCTGACTGGCAGATCGGATGGGGGAGGGGGCGAGTACAGCTGACTCTGCCTCTAGATAGGCAGAGCCAGCTGTCACTCACGCAGTTGGGCGGATCCAGACATAATTGTCGGGATCCGCTTCAGCTGCGGCGTCTCAGTATACCGCGAGCTGTAGCTTAGGGTGACTTAGGTATACTGAGCTTAGGGTGACGGGAGGACGCTAGTTTGTGTCCTCCCGTTACCCTAAGGAGAACTATGGGGAAAAGCCTTAACCGCATACTTCTCCTTTAACAGAAACTAGTCAGTAAAATCAAAAAGTGTATTAGCTTTGTCACTAGCCTGCAATAAATGACAAAGCTGCCTGAACATTAGTATTGCTGACCTCCCTATTCTGGGTGATGGCATAGGGATTGAATCCACATTACTTCTTCACTGTAAATAGATGATTTCCTGCAGGGCGAACGTTGACGGGGACAGCCTAAAATGTACTTTCCTCGTCAGCCTCGCTCTATGGATCTAGTTCCGTAAAGTTCCTCCAACAATCTTCACCCCTTCACTAGTGCCACCAACCCTACAAGCTTTGGTGTTCTAGTGTGGTCAACATCAATTCTGTGCAGTGTGTTAATGCTACCAGCGTTTCTTTTCTAGCCTTCAAAGAATTATTCCCTGAAATTGTGGAGACCAAACACAAATTCTGACAGACAGGCAGCAGCAGTGCAAAGGGAGAACACAGGAGGAATTTCATGACACTAAAGCTATAGCCTCAACACTTACCCATAGTTAGAATTTATAGAGAGGCAATTTTAATCCTGATCCAGGAATGCAGCAAAATTAACACCTAGTTTTCAGATCTGAAATCACCATAGAAAATTAGCATACCTTATAATGACTATATTAAGTTTTTTTTTTTTTTACTCCTTGTGATTCTTTGAATAAAAACAAAATGTGTACAAAGTTATGTACATTGTCAACATTTATTATAGATAATATTTTATTACATCTATTCCCCTGAGTGCATCCATACAAGAAGAGAAGTGTGTTGCACTTGGACACAGTAGATGCATTGTTATCAAGAAATGAAATATTTTACTATTAGCAAGTCAAAAATTCACTCCCTACCATTTTATTTTTCCCTTCCACATTTACTACAACTGGGGATAGTGACCAAGATGTGGTTAATAGTTGCTTGTCACCTAAACCTTAGGGCTGATTATCTTCTGCATTAGACTATTTCCAGTTAAAACTGAATGGAATTTTTCACAACGAGACAAATTAGACAAAGATCAGGATAGGTCACCAGTTACCAGATAGGCAAAGATAATCATTTAAACCTGTAGGGAGAATATATATTTAAGAAAAAGGAATGTTATGCGTTTACATAAAATCTTCCATGTCAAATTGATGTATTATTGATTAAGACCAGGAAATATGCTTTTACCCCAGTCAATTTTGTAAACCACTAATTGCCTGGGCATACTGGTGTTTAGTAGCTCTACGGTCACAGATTGGTTGAAGGATATTAAAGATTAGGGCGGGTTCAACATCTGCTGTCTTGTAAAATAAGAAGACCCTCGAAGACCTGACATACCTTAAACCAGGGGTAGGCAACCTTCGTGCTCCAGCTGTAAACTCAACTACAAGTTCCATGAGGCATCACAAGACTCTGACAGCCACAGGCATGGCTACCGGGGACTGAAGCATGATTAGATTTGTAGTTGCATCAGAGCTGGATTGCCAAGGTTGTCTACCCCTGCTCTGATGGTCTCAATGAATACCTTTGAGTTACATTACTACACAATGGTCTCAAGCCAGGCATTTACAACATGATGGGTGTCAGGAGAAGACAATTAAAGGGAAAATTCCCCTCTGAGATACTAGGGACATGATTAAATTTCCTAATAAACTTGCATAATGGTGATTCATGAGCCTGAAATTGTAAGATACAACAGAGCCTATGTTTAAGATTACAAATCACAGGTTTCCTATGTGAACAGGGAGAAGGAAACTACCGTTAGGTCAAAGTGCATTGTATGTGACAACTAGTTTTCCATCTGAAGCTCACAGAAGCAGAGTATGATTTTCCATTACAGGCCCCAAAATATTCTGGAACATTATCTTTTTTTCTAACCAAAAAAAGAAAAAGAACAGACTCCATTACATAACTGTTCATATTGCATATGTATTACTAACTTTGAGGTTTTTTTCCTGGAGTTCTCTGGTGATAAGCCAGAGGTTGTCCATCCTATATTGTTCCATAATCTCTAAAGGTATAAACCAACCAAGGGTACAACCTACCACCTGAATGGCTTTAATTTGTGGTCCTGACATTCATCTTCTGCACCTAGCTTTTTCTCAGATACAAGCTGAGTATTTCAAGGTTCCATCACCTTCCACTCTCTTAGCCCATTGCTGGCTTGCCCACACGCAGAGGAACATGAGAAAGAGGTAGCAAAACACAGCATCATAAGATAAAAGGTTGCAGTCCCACCCAATAGGCCTGTGAAAAGCCAGCAAAAAAAAACAAAACACCGGACTGGACTCTTAGTACTCTATTACAAATATAAACCGATTGAACTTTATGACTGCAGCACAGTTGCAACATTTCCTGGATAGCATTAGAAGTTGATTTATTGATTTAATAGTTGCCTAGAATTACTCTTTAAGCTTGTTTAAGTCAAACTAAATATTTGGCAATGCATGAAGTAAAATCACAGTACGCTGAACAATTCAATGAAGCCATTTTCTAGATTTTGGTGTGAACCCTCCTGTGTCTAATGAGATGTGAACTGCGGAAGAAGCATTTGCCGCACTCTGTGCAGGTGTAGGGCCGCTCTCCGGTGTGAACTTTTTGGTGCCTGACGAGATCGGAGCTGTGCCGGAAGCTCTTGGTGCACTCGGTGCAGACATAGGGGCGCTCTCCTGTATGCACTCTCCTGTGGATGATGAGATTGGAGCTATTTATGAAGCTTTTCCCGCACTCGTTGCACACGTATGGACGCTCTCCAGTGTGGATTCTCTGGTGCATTACGAGGTAAGCGCTACTGATGAAACTCTTGCTGCATACTTTGCACACATGGGGTCTTTCACCTGTGTGAGTTCTCTGGTGGATGATGAGGCTGGCATTCTGAGTAAAACACTTGCCACACACTGAGCAGAGGAAGGATCTAGCTGGCTTAGCCACTTTAGTTTCTGAGTTAGCCTTTGTTTTTCTTCCCATTAAAGTGCCATCAGCTCCTTCGGCATTTGTACTTCCGCTCATCACGTATTTCCTTCTTCGGCGACCTCTTGGGGTTCTCACTTCAGTGGTCTTTTCTTCCTGCGTTTCATGATTTATAGGTTTTTCTTTTCCTTTAGAATTTTTCAGTGCAAGTGTTGATATGTAGGATTTCTTTAAAATAGTGTTGGAGTTTGATGGACTTCCACAAAGCAATGTCACATTTTCATTCTCTTCCGATGCGACACTGGTCAATTTACATGCTCCGGTCGATTTGTCACCTGATGGGAGAAAAATGCATTGAAAATAAATTGTGCTAAAACTGCTTCCATGAAGTCAGTCTGTTAAGCAACTAAGGCTGGCCATACACTGTTACAATGTCTGTAAATCGGGCAAAATGATTACAGTTGGTGGCCCTGTTATCTCAACAAAAGTCGATTTCTCAACTGACTTCTAGCGCTTTCTTTTTCGCTTACATTTTTTCCCACAAATTTAAAATGAAGAAAACAGAACAATGGAAAATAGTGATAATATAAACACAAGATAATCATATATCTACATGAACGTTAGAATTCTAAAGGGGGCAGGACATGCAGGACATGTCTACATCTGGTTATCTGCATGCATTCCAGTAAAAGTCTTGGAAAAAACAAAACACTTGCTTAAAGAATACATAAACCCAAGAACAAAAATGTATATATTCATCTTACCAGTTCTTAGATGTGGTGGCTGCATTTGTTTTTATTTTCAGGCTACGAACATTGTAGGAACTGCGTTCATTGAAGGACACAGTGGAGATCTTGAATCTCCTATGGATGGGTTTACAGCGCCACCTACAGGAGTAGGACACTAGGCACAAAACAAAAACTCAGCCTAGGGATGGTCCCTGATGGTGGCCAAACCCCCCTAACAGCAAGAGCCAGCTCAGTCAGTCACAAAGCAGCACAAGGTATTACATAGAACAACCACTGGCACAACATAAAAACCAGAGGGGTGGGCACTGTGTCCGTCATTGAACGCACAGAAAAGTATTTCATAGGCAGTACAAAAATCCTATTTTCTCTTCCGTTCATTGAAGGACACAGTGGAGATCTTGAATCTTCTATAGATGGGACGTCCCAAAGCAATGCCCACCGAGGGGAGGGAACAAGACTAAGTTATTTCACCTGGGTAGCAACCCATTAATTTGCCCAAACTGATAGGCGTGCAAGGGCCCGTGCCAAATGGATAAAAATAACTCTATGATCTGCATAAGAACTCTTAATAGATAAAAAGCTGGAGCAACCAGAAATTACTAATGAAATAAAATGGATGAGCAGCAGAAAAGATCCACAGAAAAACCAGCTGGAATTTTCCCACACACCTGGCATTTCAACCTCACACGTATACTTACCAAATCCCACAGGGCAGTCAAAACAACTCACAAGGAGAAACGATTAAAGCTGCCTTGTGTGTGGGAAAGACTGAAGGAAAGGAACGGATCCCACAGAGCAAAGGATGAATGCAGACAGGGATGTACATAAACACCCAATTAAATACTGAAGAGCAGAAGGCTGGTAGACTCAGGAACAAAAAACCCAAAACACACAGACCCACCCCTCAGAGGTGCTCAGGATCACGTGCCAGCCCAAGCCCTAGAGCAAAAAAAAAGCTAAGAGCAGACCCACAGAAAACATCCAAGAGCTAAATCCCAAACCTTGCAAATGGGAATATGCCAACCACGACGATGGTAGACCCAGTCAGGGCCGGCCTAAGGCCTTTAGGCGCCCTGTGCGAGAAAGCTTTACAGCGCCCCTCAGTGACCACACCCCTCAGTGGCCACACCCTTTAGTGGCCACACCCCCAGTAACCACACCCATTTATCACCCATATTTTTGGTAAAATATAAAAAGCGGGGTCACGTCGGGTAAATAGACACCAAACATGTCATGCTTTAAAATTGCGCGCACCTGCAAAATCGTAAAAAATTACCATACCCAAAATTGACCATAGGTGACGCTTTAAAAGCTTTTACCGCTCATCAGTTTAGTGTTATCAGTGATTGATAGCCCTACAATTATTGCTCTCATTCCGACGTTCGCGGCGATATGTAACATGTGCGGCGTAATGGGCGAAATCGTCGTTTTCACACGTATGCGCACCCGATGCCTGTTTGCATGCGTGTATGTATGGGGGGGACTTTAAAAAAAATGTAATTCTTTTTTATTTGTAACTTTACATTTTTGGGGGGGAAACTTTATTGCTATCACATAGGGGGGTTAGAAAACCCCCTTATGTGATAGCAAAATATGTGACAGGTCCTCTTTATGGAGACATCAGGGGTCTCCAAGACCCCTAATGTCACCTAGGACCCCCCTGAAGAAGCTGATGAAGCAAAGATCTGCTTCATCAGCTTCTCTGCAGCATCTGAAGCTGGAGAGTGACACGAGAATGCGGAAGTGATATAATATACACCACTTCCGCATTCTGACAGCGGAGAGGGGACCGGAGGGAGCT